GTGCATAGACAGAAGCTATAGTATGCAAATTTTCCTGATGGGCACTTGTTTAAAATGGAAAGCAATGGATTTGGTTCTCATCAACTTCTAATCAAAACCATCAATTTAAAAAAATTCCTCCATGTTGAAGGAAAGAATCCATTTTCCTTCCCTTCTCTATGTAGAAAATTGTATTATAAAAATGTCTTCCTCCCCAAAATCCATACCCTAGGCTTATCATAAGAAGGACATCCATCACATCCCAATAGAAGGACATTTTACAAAATAAAATGACCAATACTCCTCAAAACTGTCAAGGTCCTAAAAAACAAAGATAATCTGAGAAATTGTCAAGCTAAGAGGAGCCTAAGGAGATATAACAACAAAATGTAATATAGTGCCCTGGTTGGGAACAGGAAAAGGACATTAAAAACTAAGGAAATCCGAACAAAGCATAAACTTTAGTTATAAAAATGTATCAGTACTGGCTCAGTCACTGTAACAAATATTAGATGTTAATAGTAACAGAAATTGGGTGTGGGGTTTATGGAAACTGCCATTTTTCTGTAAATCTAAATCTATTCTACAAATAAAGTTTATTAAAAATGTCATATAAAGAAACAATTAATGAGTATGCAGCCTAAAAGGTAGAGGGGGAACTTATTATAGAGGTAGGAAAAAGGAATTAATAAAATTTTTAGGTTATTTTTCTGGATTTTGTGAAATTTATGGTGTTATAGAAACTTTTTTTGGTGTTATAAGCTTTCAAAATTTGCATTTTACTGTATTTCTGTTTTCATTCTAAAGAAACATTCGCTTTTGTATCCAACTTTGTATTTGTAATTTTCTTAAAGAGGTCCCCTAAATTGTGTGAACTTCAGACTCCACAGTACTTGGATCCATCTTTGGTTGGCGCTGGTCACAGATGACTAGTTAGAAAAATGTGTCCAATTCAACAACTGAACGCCTACTGTGTGTAAATACTACGCCAGGACTTGCAGAGGAGCACAGAGTGGGGAGTGCTGGTTTAGGAAGATTCATGAAATACAGTGCCTGCTCTTCAGACACTTACAGTTTCATGGGGGAGATGGATATATGCCTAATATAGATGTAGCCTCAAAACAGATTGAGTGACAAACACCCAGCCACTGATGCCAACCCTGTCTTTAAGCATCCACTTATCAAGCTCTGGAATTAAAAGCACATTGGCCATTATTAATTGATGTGGGTATACCTCAGATGACCATGTTCGAAAGTGATAGATGTAGATCAACAATAATCACAACTTTGTAGTTGACAATCGCAAATGGGAGCTTCTGAGACAAGGCCATTTTCAACCTGCCCATCAGCTTGTTCCAAAAAGGACTTGAACTCTCTTTAGCTTCTCTAGAAGATTGATCAATCAGCTTTAGGCAGATGTAGATTTTGATCTAGCCAGCATTAGCCACAAAATGTTCATGAAGCCAAAATGTAATGTGGGTGAGAACTTGAAAAGAGACTCAAAGTTCCATTAGGAAATTTGCTCCACTGCAACTTCCAATTGGCTCTTATTTTGCTTAGCTAAAGAGTGTTTGGAAAAAAGTATAAAAGACTCCTACATATTCCTGAGTCACAAAATGGAACCCCCAACCATAAAGTCTGGAACCTTCATTTAATGAGAAAACTGAAGCCATGGGCTGTGTCAGTCCTTATAACACCCTTCTATGGTAGGTTATTATAGGAATAAGACTATAATAATAATAATAATAATAATAACTGGCCTATTATTATTATTATTATAAGACTATTAAGCCTATCTTATAGAGGATGAAATGGGGCTTAATGCAGACTTGCCCAACTCCCAAACCTGTGTTCTAACCACTGTGCATACTGCCCCCCCATACTCTGTCCTGACAGTCACAGGACAGCCCTATAAATTGTGAAACCGTTTGAAATGATTAGGGAGAAAAGTTTTTTGTTCTAAAGTGTTAGCACTGACAGAGACCTGAGAAATTATTTAGTCTAGCCCCCTTATTTCCAGAGGGAAATATTCTGGGGAATGAAGCTGCTTCCCAGTGTCTTACAGCAGCTTCTGCCAGAGTGGATAGGAACCTAGATGTAATCCCTGGCTGTGTGCCTTTCCCACTCTAGAGCTGTAAACCACCTGCATTCATGGCTAGAACCCAGGGAGAGGCATGCAATTAGGAGAAAAGTGACTTGGATGGGGAGGGATAAGAGGAGACGGCCAGTGACAACTGTCACATGTTATGGGTTGAATTGTGTCACCGTCCTCCTCCATGTATTTATGTTGAAGTCATAACCCCCAGAACATGATGCTATTTGGAGATAGAGTCTTTACAGAGGTAATTAAGTTAAAATAAGGTCATTAGGGTAAACCTTAATCATTAGGGAAGAAGGGGAAATTTGGACAGACATGCATAGAGGGAAAACCATGTGAGGAGACATAGGGAGATGACCATCTCCAAGCCAAAGAAAGAATCCTGAAACGGATTCTCCCCACACAGCCTTCCAAAGGAACCAGTCTGCTCATACCTTGGTTTTGAACTTCCAAGCCTCTGGAACCGTGAGGCAATACATTTCTGTTGTTTGAGCTGCCCAGTTTGTAGTACTTTGTTCTAGCAGCCCTAGCGAATCAATACACCGCAGAACTTGGGAAGTGCTTGAGGAGGCACCAGGGCTGAAGGACTGGTTGGAGAAGTAAGAGGAAAAAGGAGAGGCTAAAATGATGAAATCATGGGTGGGGAGAAAGAGACATGGGCAGAGAAACCAAGGATTAGCCAAGTGGAAACCAATAAAAATGAGAGTCCATTTATTATTTTAAATTAAGAGTCTAGATCCAAATGTAGAAGAGGATCGAGGAGAAGTGAGCTGCTAACAGAGGCCATTGGGGTGTGTGCTGCCCTCCCCATTACTGTACCGTGGTGCGGGCACACTGTGGAGGAAGCAATTACTGCTGCCATGTGCAGACGTCCTTGAAAAGTGAGAAAAGCCCAGGGAAAGTCCCTAGGATATTATTCGGTGGAGTCAACTTGAGTATGCTTGAGACCTCGAGTAAATAGTCATCCCTCAGTATCTGTGGGGGATTGGTTCCAGGACCCCCAAGAATACCAAAATCTGTGAAGTCCCTCACAATAAAACAGCCTAGTATTTGCATATAACCTATGCATATCCTTTTGTATACTTTAAGTCATCTCTAGGTTCCCGATAATACCTAATACAACATAAATACTATGTAAATAGTTATGCTGTATTATTTACGCAACAATGACAAGGAAAAAAGTCTGCATATGTTCAGTACAGATGCACCCATCTTAGGCCTAACTACACAGTACATGTCAGCAACATAACTTTTCTTTTCTGAATATTTTCAATCCACAGCTGGTTGGATCTGTTGAACCGCAGATACAGAAGGCCCACTTTGCAAATATACTTTCGTGGTTATCCGGTGCATGCTCTGGAGGCAGGTTGCTTGAGTTCCAAATGTAGTTTTGCCCTCTCTAGCATTCAACCTGTCTGTGCCTCAGTTTCCTCATCTGTAAAAGGGGAATGATGACAGCACCCACCTCATAGGGTTACGATGAAGAGTCAATAAGATAATGTGTGTGAAGGGTTTCAATATACTGTGTCATCAGAGGTGTTTATAATAACAATAATTCTTATGCCTCAAATTCAAAGCAGTGCTAGATAGTCCTCCACTCAATGCTGGGCACAAGAACCACTGTAACTGAGACAGCTGTTACTAGAGGTTAAGGATACTGGCAAGCCTCAGGCGCCAAGAGGAAAAATAACATTTGGGATACAAGCCTGACAAAAATTTGCATTGGCCTCTGAAAGCCCCTAAAGGGCATCACACGGATGCAGAACCCCTGAAAACCATACAGCCAGGGCTGAGCAGGATGGCGGGGCCCCAAGAACGTGGCCAGTGAATGCTGCCCTTGAGAAATACCCAGCCTGCCTTCTGTTCTAACTCTGCCCGGAGTGATTTGTCCAGGGTTGCTTCATGTCCAGGGCATTGCAGAAGTCCAGACCAGTCTTTCCAGCCAGGAGCTGTGGCGAAACCCCATGTGGGGACAGTGGTGAAATCAGGTTAAAAGGGGTCGCGCACGTCGGTGCCAAATAAAATAGGAAAGGAGAGCCCTTCGGCCCCCAGGGTCCCTCCCTGCAGAACCCTCGGCCCGCCAAGAAATCAGTAGGGCACGCCTTTGAGGGTGGAAGATGCGAAAGGGCATCTCCTGGCCCTCGCGGCCCCGCAGACCCTAGAGTTGGCCTGGCTCCTGGGCTAAGGCGGTACAATTGACCCTTTCGCTTCCTCAGGGATTTTCTGGAGACTCTAGCTGCATTCGCTCGCGAAACCGCCCGCTGGCTGTCCGCGGGATGCCAGTCCGACACGCGCGCGCCCCGCTGGGGAGGCGGGCGCGCGGCTGGGGCGGGGCCTGCGGCGGGGTGTGGCCTGCTGCGGGGCGTGTTTGGGGGCGGGGCCTGCGGCGGGGCGGGCGCGGCTCACGCAGTGGCAGCCCCTCCGCTCCGCGTTCGCAGAGGCTGGGGCGCAGCCAACGCGCAGAGGTGACGGCGGTGCCTTTAAATAGCATCCGGAGCAGGCGCGGGGTAGGCAGTGGTCTGCGGTGACAGCCGGCAGCGAAGCGGCCCGGCTAGCCGAGGAGGTGAGTGCTCCTGCCACGCGGAGCCGCGTGCGTTCCCACTGCGGCGTCCGTGGTCTAGGCGGAGACGCGGGGCTGAGGCTGCCTCACCGGCCCGATCCCCAGGAGGCGGCGGCCGCAGCGGAGGTGCGTGAGCGGCCCCTTGACTCGCGGGGACGTTCCGCTTTTCAGGCCTCTGCCCTGCGGCTGCCCTTCCCGCCGCAGTGGAGGCCTCCGGGCCGCCGGAGCCGCCGCCGCCGCTTCCTATGCCTGAGCTAGGGATGCCCGCCTGCCGCTTCCCGCGGACGGGGCTGGTGCCCGGCGGGGTCCGGGTGACGCGCGCCGCGGGTCCGGCCCCTTGTTTGTGCGGTGGCGGGGACTCACCCGGCGAGGAGGATCCAGAGCTTCAGATGAACGGGGGATGATCCCACGAAGCCAGTGACGGTTGTCTCTCGGCTACGGGCATCCCTTCTGCCCCCGTGGCTGAGGTTTTGAGGTGCGCTCGACGCTTGGAAGCATCGGAGCTGGACTGGAGTCCTGCCTCGGCTTGGGAGCGTTTGCAGGAGGGTCAAATGCAGCATCAAACCGGTTGTCATTTGTAGAAATCCTCGCGGTGTTTCCAGAGGAGTGCCCATAGCGGCTGCACAGAGCCGCGATGGAGTCATTGATTTGAGTCTGGCCTTTTTTTTTTTTTTGAAATTCGCAAGCAAAGATGATATCTATCACCTGACAGCGTAGACTGAGAATGGTGGTAGATGACGAGCGAATACGTGGTCTAGCACCTAGGGACAGATGCTCGGGCTAATCGGTGTGTACATTATAATTGCAAGCCCCCACCCTACCCATTTTCCAGGTGATAGCGCTTGATTAAGACCAGTATAAAAGTGCCCTTTGTCCTTGTAAAGTTAAGACTTTTAAGTTTCTTAGGGGTGTAGGAGGATCCAAAGTGCCCCCACTGTCAATACCCTTCCTTTTATTTATTGACTTTTGCATAGTAGACAGAAGCTGGTTAAACTCATAGCTTCTGACACAGATTTCATGCGTGATTATCCCATTGTAAACAATTATTGCTTAACACAAGCAAACGAAGTCACTCAAAAACTTCTGGTTGATTCTGCAGTTTCAGGTGGAGGTCGAAGGTTAGATTGGCCTAAAACTTAAGTTTTGAGTTGACAGTCTGCGTTGGGTGGGCTCGAAAAGATGGAACTTTGAAAAGAGCCCTTGTGTCCCATCAGTGTGGTTCTTTCTTGTCCCGACTCTACTGGGAGAATCCCTTCCCAGCCTGAAATGTGACTCCTCATTTGTGAAAAGACTACATTAGACTAAAGTCTTTCAGGGGCTAAAAGTCTAGACTAGAAAAAGAAAATCCTTAAAAGCAGCACACCTCACACCTCCCTTCCTCCCTTAAAATAATACAGACATATTGTAGACCCTATACTATAGACTTCTATTTCCTGCATTTACTGTAAATAGTGAAGACTTCTTTTTTTTTTAAATCACCCTTCCACCACAATTATAACTATTTTGATATATTTCCTTCCTGCCTCTGTTATGCATATTTTGACACTTTTTAAATTATTATTACAGGCAGCTTGACTAAAGAGAAATCTCTGGGCTTTTTAATTTGGGGCATGTAAGAGATAGATAGTTGTGACAAATGCAGGTAGGGACGAGTATCTATATAATACAGGCAGAGTTTTCATAGCTATGTCTGCTTTTGGATGAAGTTTGGAATAACTGAACGTGTACAGCCTGCCACAGTGTTGTGCTTTAAGGTCCAGGTCTTGGCACGTCTTCCGTTTTGATGTAGCTGTCTTATGGAAAATGGTTGTGTGTTTGGGGAGGGGCTGGGGAAAGATCAGGTTGTCTTGTCCGTACAACAGGGAATTTCTCCTCCTCTCTCCCTTCAAGTTTCACTTTTCTGGAAGATCAAGACTATAAGGAATAGTAGTAATTTCTAGAGGTTGATAATAACCTTAGAGAAATAGATCATTTCTAAGGTCAGTTGCTAAATTTATTATACAAGTTTTCTCCTTAAAACATGTCCATTATTCTTTTGCATGTACTGTCTCTTGTAACCAAATTCTGTTAAGTTAGAATCCATTAGTAATGTTTTATGAACAGTCTTGTTTGGATGATGCCATGGGGTTAGACTCCGTTGTTACAAAATACAAAAGAACTTCCTTTAAGGCAGCTCAAAACTGTTGGTATCCTAAGGCCACTGCGAGCTTTATTTTCAGGCTTTGGTCAGTCAGGAGGTAGCTTGAAGGTGCCAGAGTTTTTATTGAACGTAACAAACACATAAGGGTCACTTTGACACTCATGCCTGGAGACTACGTCTCAGTGAACAGAGCTGATCTGAAGCTGCCCATAGTTGAGTGTGAGTTTCAACATTCTAGTATTAACGCTTAAAGGGACTTCTGAGAGCTTTTAAAGAAATATAAACCCTGAAGTACAAGCTAGACTTTATGAACTAGAAAGGAAAGGCAATTTTACCAATGTTTGTGCCTGCAACTCTGAAGTTATCGTTGTCTCTGCAGTTCCTTATCCAAAATGCAGAATGCCAGCTCATAAGAAATCCTAGTTTGTGTAAGCCCAAGGCGACACATAATTTGAAACAATTGCCCATAGCACAGTGACAAGAGAAAACGAGCACATAATCTGAGTTACGGTCATTTTTCTGCGTTTTTACATCCTAACATTTAGAAGTTCTGGAGTGTGTTGGAGACAGCACAGTATTCAGTTAATCATAACCTTTGTAAAGTCAAGAAGGGAATGTGATGGAGCCTTCCTTGAAACATGGCTAGCTTGGAGGGTTGACACACTCTTGGGGCAAAAACTTAGGTGGAAATAAGGACTCTGCTCCCCTGAGCTGCCTTCCTCTGAAGAACACATTTGACTGGAGTCAAATGTCTTATCTCCAAAATCTACTTCAAAACTGGTGGCTCAGTGTACCCACAGGTACCTCGGCTAATTCTCTTCATGAATTAGTTGCCAGTCCTCAGGTTTTAAATAAAAATTTGAAAGCTCTCTACTATCTAAATCAAAACCATGTGCCTCAGAAAGGTTCTACAGAATATATAATTTCATAGTATATACTTTTTATGTTATCATAGGAATCTATGCTTATAGAAAATTTGGGAATTATAAAAATAAAGGTCTTCAAGAGATTAATACCATTTACATTTTTGTGTATTTCCTTTTTGTTCCTCTAAACATTTTTTAAATTTAAGCATATGTTTTTAATTGAAGATAAACATTTTGATAATTTTAATCACCTAAATTATATTGTGAATAGTTTTCCATGTTGTTAATATAGCTTTTTTTTTTTTTAGAAATTAGGATGGGCCGGCCGAGTGGCTCAGTTGGTTAAGAGCTCACTCAAGAGTGCAAGCTCTGAGCAACAGCGGTTCGATGCCCGGCCCGAGCTGAGCTGCCACTGAGCTGCCAACAGGTGGCAGGATGGCTCAGCTTAAAAAAAAAGAAATTAGGGCATATTCTACTTTAAAGCTGTTGAAACTGACAATGATTTGAACATTATTTTTATTAATGAATGGTTTGTAGACTTTTTAGGCTTGTGTGTTCTAGTCAAAAGCTGTTAAAATAAGGATTTCATGGTTCAGAAAGATAAGTGGAAAGAAGTTAGGGCACCGAAGGAGGAAATGCAGATTGCCTTTGACACCATTTCCTTATTCTGGGAGGGATTTCTGATAAATGCATTATCTGTCCATTTGCACAGTTTTGGCTGCTCTAGAAATTGGCACTTTCCCCTCAGGTTTATTGAGGGAGAGATGTCCCTAAAACGTAAGCCCAAAATGCCCTGAATACTGTTCATTCTTTTATTAACCAGAAAGGGAAAGTTGCTATAGGAACTAGTTTCTCCCTCAAGGCTCAGCTGTCAACTGCAAAGCAGGGCGGTGTCAGCTGACGTGGTGGCCACAGGCTGAGCATGGCAGGCAGAGGACATGATAGGTGATGATAACAGCTAACAGTACAAGGCACTGTTCTCAGTGCTTCAGATGTGTTAGCTCAGGGAACCTTCTCAACAACCCTGTGAGGTAGGCCCTGCTGTTATTCACATTTTACAAAAGAGAAAAGAACAAATGCAGAGATTGTCGCCCAAACCAGGATTTCAACCTAGGCAGCCTGGCTTCAGGGCCAGAGCTGATAACTTCTTGGCTCTTTCAGGTTATCCAGCTGGCGGCAAGACTGAAGACAGAGCTGGTTTTTCTTCGATGTCATTGTTCCTTGATTTTTCCCTGTCTCATTTACATTCTGTCTTGGACCACCAGAGTACTGAAAACTACAACAAATTTTGATTCAGCCTGGTTCAGTGAGTGATAAGATGACCTACTACACAGCTATGACCTTCTAGACCAGCGGTTCTCAACCTTTCACAGGGGTTGCCTAAGACCATCGGAAAACACATATTTTCGATGGTCTTAGGAACCGAGACACCGCTCCTCTATCCATCTCCAGGCCCACATGCAGATACACCCACATATGAGTACCCGGTGACCCCTGTGAAAGGGTCGTTAGAACCCCAAAGGGGTCGTGACCCACAGGTTGAGAACCGCTGTTCTAGAGAATTAATGAGTAAAAGGCTTTGTCTGCCATGGAAGGTGGTCTTGTAAGACTGAACAGTCGAGATGCATGATGAATGCATCATGTTTGGAAAGAAGAGAGCATGTGGGGTGGGGTAGGGACCCAGGCTGTCAGCAGGGATGCTAGAGCATCACTCACTTAAGTAGGAGATTGTCTTCATCATGGCACATAGGTTGGCTTTCTGCTGCCTATCTTGGGTTTTTTGTTTGTTTTTTACCAGAAACAGACCTTTTCAACATGTCCTAGATCATGCTGAAAACTTTTAGTAGACCAGAGAATAGAATTGTGAATTTCCAGAGTTTGAAGGCACAGTGTTGTCGCCTAGTGGTTATGGCCTTTTTTTTCCCAGTACAATTTTAGGCAGAACCCAAATATATAAAATAAATAAAAGCAGGGCTGCCATGGTTGAGGGGGGCAGATACAGTTGCTTCCTCAGCCTCTGAGGCACTTCAGCCCCCAGCTCCCCAAACACTGACAAAACCTAACGCACTCGCTTGCCTGGAACAGTAACTGGTACAGGAGCCAGGGCACCTTAGCTGTAGGTTATACAACCTGTGTTCCCCTCTGGCCAGGACACACAGCGACATTTGTTCCTGAGCCCTGTGTCTGTTTGAGGAATGGCTTGACCTTGGTGTTATTATTGATTTGTGCCCTAAACTCCAGTCCGTCAGCAGGTTCTGCTTATTCTAGTGTACTGTCTGTACCATATTGGCCAACACACACTCATATCTTAGTACCACCATCCTAAACCAGAGTCTGTGCCTCTAGTTTAGACAGCAAAGGTCCTTAGTTAGAAAAAGAGGGAGAGGATGATGACGTCTCCAAACACAGAGCTCTGATCGAATCCCTCCTCTGCCCAGAAGCTGCCCAGGGCTCCCTCTGTAAGGGCCCAACTCTTTATTTATCTTGGCCTTTGGGGTTCCTTGAGTCTGCTTCTAACCTGCTATTTCCCATGCCTCCCAAACCACCACATACTGGGGTCTTTGGAATACAGACTAGTGGTGCAGGGTTCAACCAAGGCCTCTGCACCCCAACACTGCGTGAGCTCTCTCTTCTGCCCCTCCTGCCTCCCTATGTCCTGGAAGAGCCTCTGGGCCCTGCATGCCTACCTTGACCTGTCTGCAATGACATTCCTCATGCTACACCCATTCCTCATGGCCCGGATCCTCAGACCGCTTTCCTGGAGCTACTCACTGTCCTCAGACTCCAAATCACTCAGTGGAACTCTAGGCTGACATTCAGCTGGGATGCACCAGCAACCACACCGGTGGTTAAAAGGTTACAATACTCCTTCCCATACTGGTTAGAAAATAGGCCTTAGCCCTAATTCAGAAACTGAAGGGTTAATGACTGGTCTGTGGGGGATAGAGGGACCTCCTGAACCCTGTTCTGGGGTTTTGGTCTGCTGCTTTTCCCATTGGTTGATGCCTGGCTGTACTGGTTATTCAGTATTTTGAATAGCACCCCTCCCTCTGCCCTTCATCTGCCTTTTCATGTGTGCCTATCTTGCTTCCCAATTAAACACCCCAGCCACACTGTAAGCCCGGGGTAGTCCTAGCCATGGTCTAGGAGGAGACCTAGTAATGGTCATTTCTGTGTTGTCAGCATTTGACATAGGCCTGTAATGCTAGTGAGCTCTTACTATTATCTGATGCTTGACTGAGACTAAGAGACATTCACATGGTCGATGTCCCTTAGAA